CACGGGGGTCCCCCCCCCAGCCAATCAGAGGTCAGCGATCCTGCGTAACTCGGCTCATCCCCCCAGGGACTGCCCGATGGGCCGGGCCGTGCATGAAACCATCCCAGCCGTTCCTCAAATGGAGAAGGCAGCAGGTCAGGAGGAGGGGGAGGGACCCCCCCAGAAAAGGGCCAAGTGAGAGCACCCTGCTGGGGAGCAGCAGCCCCTCGCTGAGGCCCAGCCAATCAGAGGTCAGCGATCCTGCGTAACTCGGCTCATCCCCCCAGGGACTGCCCGATGGGCCGGGCCGTGCATGAAACCATCCCAGCCGTTCCTCAAATGGAGAAGGCAGCAGGTCAGGAGGAGGGGGAGGGACCCCCCCAGAAAAGGGCCAAGTGAGAGCACCCTGCTGGGGAGCAGCAGCCCCTCGCTGAGGCGCCACGGAGCGTTCGCGCAGGCCTGGGACCAGCGACTCTGTTCCCAATCCACAGCACGAAGTCCTCCAGGCTGCCCTGCGCGGGGAGAAGACGCTGCCACACCCAGCCACCCGGCTGAGACCTTCCTGCCGACGGGGTCTGGTTTTCAAAGCCACACTGGGGGCATTGGGACTCCAAATTACCGCCACCTGGGTTAGATGGACACAGCACAGAGACCCGTCCGGGGGCGGGGGAACCTCCCCGACAGATCGCACCTCACACTCACTTCACCTCCTCTGGACCCTGATGGTCAGACTCGGACCAGTGATGTTTGCTCAAGAGACTCGTGTGTCATTGGGCAGGTACGTTCCCACCGATCCCGGGGCACAGCCCAGAGCCAGCAGAAGCCCTGAATACGCCAGAAACACGAGTGCACCGCCGGGAACCCTGCCGTGCCGGTCTCAGGAGGCTCAGAAGCAAGGTGGGGAGAACGCAGCAAACCATGAACTCGGTGAAAGGGGAGCGTGCGGCACCAAGCAGAGCCCTGGATTTCAAAGCACCGAAATCACCACGGAAATCAGCCTAGAAATCCGTCTCCAGAGAGAGCCAGGCTAATGCTGTCAGAAGGGTTTTGGACCAAGCCGCCAGGAGAAGCTAAGGCCAACGTCGCTCACAGCACTTAGGGGCCCGGCAGGGTGTGCGCCGAGTGAAGGCAGGCGGGGGGAGGCCTCTGAACCGTGCAATTCTGAGGGTGGTTTCGTTGTAAGAAGCCTGAATTCACACAACAAAGGAAACTTTCTCCTTCTGTTACCGAGAGATTAGCGGCTTCTGAGAGCAGCGACCCAAGGTCCCAAGTCATCTCTGGGCCCACGTAGGAAGGGCAGACGTAGCAGCCTGCAGGCAGCATGGATCTGTATCATCTCATACCAGTGAGGACTCGACAGACAGAGTTCCTCTGGGCTGGGGCCAATATTAAGGGTGTCCCTGGCCATCCCACAGAGACTTTCTTTAAACTAGTAGCTGGGTCCGTACTAAGGATGTTAAAATGCATTTCATAAGGTAACCATGTAACTGCTGGACGTTTCATCGGTTACACGTGAGGCGGCAGGCGGTTCCCCATGAGTACCTCTTCCCTGCCCCCCACCCCCGTGCTGCTAGCTCTGGTACAGAGGCAGCAGAGCAGGGGAAGAGGGGAGCAGGCGGCTCCCTGGGATCTGGTGCGCCCAGGGAGCCAGTTTTTAAGCCAGCTCCCCGTGGGTACCAGGAGCCTGCATGTAAACGCGAAGATTAACCGATGCTTATCGGTTAACCACATGCACGGTTACACTGTCACATCCCTAGTCAATACTGTGGACCATCCCTTAGCCACACTGGGCTGAGTCATTAGCGAAACGACCCTGCTTACCCACCACCTCTTTTGCTGTTCTCTTGCTGTGTTGGGAAAAGCAGGGAAACCGCCGAGGAGTTTTCATGAGCTGGCCCCCTTCCTTTTGGAGACCCTTCCCCTTGCCCCGGCCAAGGGACAGGCAGGCGGTCCCCATGTGCTAGCACCCCGGCTCCAGAGCAAGGCCCTCTGGCCTGGAGCACGCTGGCGCAGTGACACCGCTCTGGGGCAGTTGGGGACGAGGCTTGCCGCATGACCAGCCAGTCACACGGAAAAGGAGCGAGCAGCCCAGCTCCTTGCGACGGCCTCACGCGTGCAAAGGGACTAGGTGAACGATGGAGCGCACCCAAGCCTGCTGGAGCCATGCAAACACCCTCCCCCGGCTCTCTCCTCGCTGCACGGACAGATGCTGCCCATCACCTGTCTTCGGACCAGGCAGTATTCCTGCCTCTTTCAAAGGAAGGGCGCGGGGAAGAGGAAATGGAGGGGCGGGGAAGACTAGTGCATCTGAGAACTAAATGACATGGAGATTTCCCTCGGAACCAGGCCGCTCCTACAGTGACGACTACTGGAAACACCGAGATGCATGCAAAACGGCCTCCTTCCGTCTGGTGGAAGAGATCATTCCGGGGAAGAGGAAGGGAGTTCACACTGGACTTCAGTTCAGCACCTTGGACAGTTCCCTGTGGCCCGCGGGTCTCTGGCGAAGTGGAACAGACGGCATGGGCTAGACCCCGCTTTGTAAACATTCCTGTTGTTCCAATGAGCAAGCGGATCATTTGATTATCAATCAAAACTGCATAGGTATAAAACCGGGGCACTGCCCGCCCCTGCTGCCAGAGCAGGTTCCAACTGGCAGGCCATGGACACGCGGTGTGCTCGGGCTCCATGTCTACCTCGAATTGGTGGGGAAGCAGCGTTTGCCGCAGGCACGGTTTCATTGTGTTCGCGGCCCTTGCGCGCCACGGCAAGGGAACGCGAGCTATTCCGGTAAGAAACCCTCTGCCAGCCAAAATAGCCTAGAAGTTCGGCCATCGTCGGCAGTCCCCCAGCTCGGCGAGTCCTCCTCTGTGACACAGCTTTCGCCGCTCCTGGGTGCCACGCCCCTGCTGAATAACCCAGCCACATGGCCCCCCCAGGTCTGCTTTGGCTCAAGAAATCCAGCCCATTTGCACCACGCCAGCCGCAAGGAAGTCCTCCAGCAAGCCCGCCCACACGCCATCTACTTGGGAGGTATCACGACCAGCGGCTGGCCTCGCTTGGGTCTCCACATGAGGACCTGGGCATCGTTGGCGTTGGGTTTCACTAGTGCGTTTGGGGGGATGGGTTCCATCCGGCTCAGAATCCGGGGCTGCTCCTGCTGAGTCCTTCCCACTAGTCGCGCTCGCTGCCCCAGCAGCTGCATGGGGTCCACTTCAATCTCCACGCGCATCCGCCACTTGATGGTCTGCAGGATGATCTTCTCCTTGGTGGTCATGTTCATGGCCACGAGCCATGTGGTGAAGCTCTGGTCCCTCTTAATCCTGGTCAGCAGCGGCACGTTGCTGTCACTCACCGGGATCGCCCACGTCACACTCGGGTAAAAATTGTCATTCATACTGACTGAGAACCGGGAGACCTTGCTGGTGGGCCCCACCAAGGTCACGGTTTCCGTGGTGTTCCCGTACCAGGGGTAGCTCACACCATCAGAGTCGCTGATGGCTTTTACTCGCCCTTCTCGCAGGTCGGGAAGTTCCCAGCTGGACCTAGGAAATGACAATGAAAGAACCCAGTTAGAGACCACGTGGCGCCAGCTCCTGGCTCACTCCTGTAGCCTACAGCAGGGTGGGCTCAAAAGCTCTTATTGGAATCATGATTTACATCCGCAAGCAGGGAACCTCGATTTTCATCTGTTCTAACCGTGTTCTGCCTTTCTCTTCCTTATTTTCCGATAAAAAGCTTGATTGAATGGCGGCCATTAAAATACGTTGAGCTGCAACTCAATAGACCGTTACCCAATAAGCATCAGTCTTAACGGTGATGCTTGCCGGGTAACAGTTAACTGGTGCCCAGGAACAGCCCCCGCCCGCGCCCCGCTGTGGACTGCTCCAGCCCCGCCAGGCCTGCGCATGGGGCTGCAGGCTCCCAGCCTCGCAGGGCCAGGAACCCAGAGCAGACGCTGGCAGAGCCTGCCCCACACGGGATCAGCAATGCTCCTCCGCCCCCCAACCCCTGCTTGTGGCAGGGAGAGTTGCTCCAGCCCCTCCACCCCCTCTTGAATTGGTTAACCGGTTTAAGATGGCATTTAACCAGCTCACCCGAAACGGGAGTTCACGTCCCTAACCTAGAGTAGAGCTACTGCGCTTCCCTTAGCTGAAACGCGGAAACGAGGGGAGTCTGGCCCGATCCCCCTTTGGAGAAGCCCTGGTGATACGCACCCCATTGCCACTCACTTCCACTAATTCCCCGTCAGTGGCAACCGCCTGGCTAACCCCCGAGCAGCCGCTGAAAACCTCAAGCCAAGCGATCGACCCAGGCCAGCAGCAAAGCGAGTCCCTGCAGGCCACAGCCCCCTTCCCCGGCAGGGGCGCGAGGGCAAAGCCAAGGAAGGTCCTGCTGCCCGGGAGCAAACGTGCATCCGCCAAGAGCAAGTGTAACCGGTGGGTTTCTGCGCCGACGCGGGGCGAGGCCGTGGCTTTGCCGACATGGCTCTCAATGGATTTCTCAGCGGTGGGGCCCGACCGCAGGGCCGAGTCCCTTCCATCGGGTCCCTCACTGGCTCACACGCTGGGGGAGCCAGAGCTGCCCCCATCCACGGCACCCACAGCACAGCTGGGCAAGCAGCAGAGCCCCGTGGCGGGGCAGGGTGTCTCTGTGGCTTCCTACTGTCCTCGAATAGGCACGAACGACATTTCTGCAAACCCCTGGGGGAGCAGCCCCGCCCCGCTCCCACAGGCAGTGCAGCTCTGGGGAGCA